CCATTACAGCCCCGTGACGTCAGCGCGCAGCGTCACGCCGGGAGGGACATGAATTGCTAGCAAATTACATAATCACCTCCTTGAGGGCTGGCTCATCTTCTCCGAAGGCAGAACCCCATTAATTAACAGGACAGACTCACACCATAGCCAAGAAGAGGGGGGGAAACCTCAGTCATGCACAGTCATGCACATGTGGGGGCTAAATGAGGACGAAGACCGGGCAGAGAGCAGGGTTCAAATCACCCCACCTGGCCAGGACAATCCCTGGGTGCTCCCTTGGGCCATTCGCCTGACCCACCTCGCAGGGCTGTTGTTGCGAGGATAACACGGGGAGAACCACGCGCGCCCCCGGGAGCTCCTTGGAGGAGAAAGCGGGCGATGAATGCAATGCACGAAATATATGAGAGGCGACCAGGTTTTGCAGGTGAGGGGCCCCCGCCAGCCTCCGCTTCCAACACCCGGCGCAACGACGCCAAAGTTTCCCCCCGGGCTCAGCTCGGGGAGCAGTGCTGCTCCCCCCTGGCTCCCCTTCGCCCTCCCAGCTCTCTCTGCCGCCCACTGGGGACCCCCCTCACCTGCCAAGTCCGGAGCGGTGGAAGTTGCATGCATGCATGCAGGGCGCCGCGTTGCCATTGCATTGCACTCCATGCAACGCCTGCACGCATGCATTGCCTTGCACGCCCGCCAAGGGGTCTCCCCGCGGTCCGATGCGTCCCCTCCGGCGCGGATGCAGCATTGCAAAAATAACCCACCCCCGACGCAGCCCTACCTGGGGGGCAGCCTCCGCCTCCGCCGCTCCGCCTCCGCGGGGATCCCCGGGCTCCATCCTGCCGCCCGATCTCCGCGGGGGCGCAGGTAGGCTGCGCGGGGTCTGCGTGGAAGAGCCCCTGCCCGCCCGGCCGCCGCCGCTGCGCTCATTCCATGGCCGGGAGAAGAGCGCTTCAAACAAAACGCCTGGCCCGCCAGGCCACGCTGGGAAACGTAGTTTGCGCACCCCACGCGGGCGCGGAGCCCAAGGGCGAGGGGACTACGGATCCCGGCAGCCCCCGCGCCGGGGACGGAGGGGGAGAGGCCGGGTGCAGGGATGGAGGGACGGGTGGGCGAGCGAGTGAGTGAGTGGCAGCCGCCAAGCCTTGGCCGAGAGCCAGGAAGGGCCTCCCCGGAGGAGGAGGAGGAGGGAGGCGCAGAGCGGGAGGGAGGGAGGGAACCCCAGGGGCCATCTAGTGACGGCGCCCCAATCGAAAATTTGACTTAAAAAAAAATCTTTCGAATTTTTTAATTTTTCCCGCGGCACACCAGGCAACATCTCGCGGCACACTAGTGTGCCGCGAAACAGTGGTTGGGAAACACTGCTCTAGTGACCCCAGGGTCTGGAAAGAAGTGGAGTTCCAGGGGGGCTAACCAAAGGAAGCAATGCTTGATCAGGCCGGCCACAAATTGATTTATTTTTAAAATAATCTTTATTGATTTAAACTACACACATATACAAAGAATTTGCAATCTCATACTGCAAAAAAGAACATTTTAAAAAAAACAAAGAAAAAAGGAAAGAAGAAATTACAAAAAAAGGAAAGAAGAAAAAGCAGATTTATGTGCATAAAAAATTTAATCTTCCTAATTAAATAAAAAAGACCTGACAAAATGAGTCTTTCAATCATTCTTATGGTACTGTTTATACTGTCGTTTTTTCTGCACAGTTTTATTCTTTAATATTGTTCCGGTTTACTCCACAAACAGCATTTATTGCGTTTACAAGTATCACTCAAGTTCTGCTAATATGGTGTGGTTGGTACAATATGTTCTTTTATAATCCTTAAATATTCTCCATTCTCCAAATATTTCCCGGTTCAATACTCCTCTAACTCTTCCCGTCAGTTTTGCTAGTTGTAAATATTCTGACATGAGTATATAGCTTCTCTTGGTGATGTCCACAAGGGTATTTTTGGCTCAAGTAGTCCTTTATATTTATTCCAGATTTTATTTCACATGGCTCAAAAATCCCCTGTGGACCTTCACTTTTTCGTATATTAAAGAAGCGTGTCATCCAGACCGATTCTCGTGGCCTTCCAAGTCTAATAGGTCCATATCTTTTAGTGTAATCCAGTCTTTTATCCAAAACAATCCTGCCGCCGCATGGTAGAATTCCAAATCTGGCAATGCAAAACCTCCTCTCTCCTTTTGATCTGTTAATAACTGGTGTTTAATTCTCGGTTTCTTTCCTCTCCATATAAATCTAGACATTTCCCTTTTCCACTCCTTAAAACAATTCATTCCTCCTAAAATGGGCATTGTTTGGAATAAGAAAATCATTTTGAGGAGGATATTCATTTTCACAACGGAGACTCTTCCCCAGAGTGAGAGATGGAGTTTGGTCCAGGTTTCCATATTTTTAAAAATTTCTTTCCATACTTTACTAGAATTATCCTAAGATAAATTTAAACTTTTTTTGAAATCCAGATCCCTAGGTATCTAACCTTATTTTTAGTTTCCAGACCTGTTTTTTCTAGAAGAAGAAGAAGAGTTTGGATTTGATACCCCGCCTTTCACTCCCTTTAAGGAGTCTCAAAGTGGCTAACATTCTCCTTTCCCTTCCTCCCCCACAACAAACACTCTGTGAGGTGAGTGGGGCTGAGAGACTTCACAGAAGTGTGACTGTCCCAAGGTCATCCAGCAGCTGCAGGTGGAGGAGCGGAGACGCGAACCCAGTTCACCAGATTACGTGACTACCGCTCTTAACCACTACACCACACTGGCGTTCTAGACGTTCTTTTTCCCCTTTCATTGTGAGGCCTTTTGTCAGTAATTTAGTTTTTTGGTAGTTTATTTTCAGCCCCAGGCCGGCCATAAATTAATCTAGCAAAAGACCCTGGGGTGGCCAGGAGCAGCGCATGCGGACGTGAGTCTAGGAATGGAGAAGATTGTGGGCGGGATTCTCTGAAACACCCAGCAACCCAGATTCTCATCCTTTGCTGTCTCTTTTGCTTATGGTCTTCACTACCAGCCTTCCTGGCAAGAGGTAGCGAGGAGGGGGAGGGGAGAACGGGAGACTTGGGGTTCTGCAATTAACTGCAAGGGGAGAACGCCAATCAAAGCTCTCATTCCCTGTCGGGGAACCTGGGATCTGAAACTTCTCCTTTTTCCCAAGGAAGACGCCCCAAGGCTGGTCCAAGTGGCCAGTTTGGATAGCAAGGGACTTGGACTCGGTTTCCAATTTCTCTTTTTCTCCTAAATGCAGCTGCACCGGCAGCACCAGGATCCAGAAGGAAGTGACTGGTGCGCCTCAGAGCGCAAGGGTGTTTCCAGTTCCTTTCCGTTCTCTCTGCAGCAGCCGGATTTGGCACTGGGCTGCCAGGCGTCCAGTGGAAAGGGACTCTTTTCCCTAGAGTGTAAAAGGCAGAAATGGGTCTGGGACCCCATGGTAAATAAAGGGAGAGAGAAGGACTTTGTAGAGAAGATGAACGACTGTCAGGTCAGGAAAGAACTGGCAAAAGGCTAGCGGGTTTTTGTTTTTGGTTGAAAAATGGGATTCCCACATTCTAAGAGTTCTAACTGCCAGACACAAAGGCATGTGCTGGTCGCAGCAGGAGGGGGAGTCTCCCTGGTTGCTTCAGCAGCCGGCCTCCTCTGGGTCTCCTGGCCCCCTCCTCTCCTCCTTCCAAGCCTGAACTGCTCTCTGCCCCACGAAACCCTGTTTCCTCCTCAGCTTGCAATATCTCCCCTTCCGGTCTGCTCCCTTTTCTCCCTCTTTCGGCTCATCGCCATCCCACCACCAGGAAGGCAGCCCTCCTTCTGAAAAACCAAGAGAGTAAATAGACAGTTCTCTGAATGGAGAGGAGCAGAAGTGGAGTCCCCTGTGGCTTTTCAACTTGTTCATAAATGATCTAGACTTAGGATGGAGCAGGGAGGGGGCAAAGTTTGCTGATGGCAGCAATTTTTCCAGGGTTGTTCAAACAGAAAGAGATTGCAAGGAGCTCCAAAAGGACTTCTTCAAAGGGAGTGAATGAACAGATACAGCTCATTGTCAATGAGATTAAAGTGGTGCATGTTGGGACAAAAAAACAACACCTCTTAATATCATGTACAAGCTCATGGGGTCTGAACTGGATTTCCCTGTGTGTTCTAGGAGACCAGGGGAGAGGGGAGCTAGTCACAGCAGGAGGGGGAGTCTCCTTGGATGCTATCTTCCCCAAACTCCTGAAAAAACAGGAGCTCTGGGGTTGCCCCATGGGGTTCAAGAGTGAAGATGCCCCCACCAGGAGATTTCCCTGGTACCTACAGCCCCTCCTTCCCCCTCTTGAAATTAGGCTTGGGGGGAAATATCCCATTCAATTTCAGTATTCTTCATGACCCGCAGGAGGCAGCGATGAAGTTCTGGTGAAGAAGCAGTGCTTGGAGATCATGCGGTGGGAGAATGACAGAGTTTAGAGCAAAAACCAAAGGTACTTTCATCTAAAATTATACTCACCATTGTGAGATGCTGCCTTCATTATTTCATTATTATACTGTTTTACATATAAACACCAGAACTTCACATATACCTCTTGTTTTTAGGAATGATTTCCTGCTGAGTTCATTGCTCAGAGTGCACACTGAGAGGAAGGAGTCCCACACTCCATACATCTAAATGGGTTCTCCCATGTGAGAGTCCCTAGATGTTCCTTAAATAAAGGTAAAGGGACCCCTGACCATTAGGTCCAGTCTTGACCGACTCTGGGGTTGCGGTGCTCATCTTGCTTTATTGGCCAAGGGAGCTGGTGTACAGCTTCCAGGTCATGTGGCCAGCATGACTAAGCCGCTTCTGGCGAACCAGAGCAGCGCACAGAAACGCCGTTTACCTTCCCACCAGAGCAGTACCTATTTATCTATTTGCACTTCACATGCTTTTGAACTGCTATGTAGGCAGGAGCTGGGACAGAGCAATGGGACCTCACCCTGTTGTGGGGATTCGAACCACCGACCTTCTGATCGGCAAGTCCTGGGCTCTGTGGTTTAACCCACAGTGCCACCCGCATCCCTGTTCCTTAAATACTCCATTATAAATAAAGCATTTTTTGCAGTCTTTTCATTTAAACTGCTTATGCTCTCTGAGTTTGTTGATGGTCTGAAGGGTTTCAGCTCTTAAACTTCTTCATGTCCATGAGTCTGTTGATTTGGAACTTCCACTAAGAGTGAACCTCTATCTACTTTCCTGATATTTATATGGTTTGTCTTTTGTGTGAGTTTTTTTGACATAAATCAAGGGTTCCACTCTGACTGAAGCTCCTTCAACAGTCCATGCATTTACATGGTTTCTCCCCTGTGTGTCTGCTGATGTTTTCTAAGATTTCCATTCTGACTGAAGCTCTTTCCACACTCGATACATTTAAATGGTTTCTCCCCTGTGTGAGTCCATTGATGTCTTCTAAGTTTTCCATTCTGACTGAAGCTCTTTCCACACTCGATACATTTAAATGGCTTCTCCCCTGTGTGAGTCCGTTGATGGTTTCTAAGGTCTCCACTCTGATTGAAGCTCTTTCCACACTCCATGCATTTAAATGATTTCTCCCCTGTGTGAGTCCGTTGATGTTTTCTAAGATATCCTCTGTTACTAAAGATCTTTCCACACTCAATACATTTATATGGTTTCTCCCCTGTGTGAGTCCGTTGATGTAGTCTAAGGCTTCCACTATGACTAAAGCTCTTTCCACACTCGATACATTGATATGGTTTCTCCCCTGTGTGAATCTGTTGATGTGTTCTAAGATATCCTCTGTTACTAAAGCTCTTTCCACACACGATACACTTATATGGTTTCTCCCTTGTGTGAGTCCGTTGATGATTTCTAAGGTTTCCACTCTGATTGAAGCTCTTTCCACACTCCATGCATTTAAATGGTTTCTCCCCTGTGTGAGTCCGTTGATGCTTCCTAAGGCTTCCATTCTGACTGAAGTCCTTTCCACACTCCATGCATTTAAATGGTCTCTCCCCTGTGTGAGTCCGTTGATGTTTCCTAAGGTTTCCATTTTCACTAAAGCTGTTTCCACACTCGATACATTTATATGGTTTATCCCCTGTGTGAGTCCATTGATGTTGTCTAAGGCTTCCATTAGTACTAAAGCTCTTTCCACACTCGATACATTTAAATGGTTTCTCCCCTGTGTGAGTCCGTTGATGGTTCCTAAGGTTTCCATTCTGACTGAAGTCCTTTCCACACTCCATGCATTTAAATGGTCTCTCCCCTGTGTGAGTCCGTTCATGTGTTCTAAGGTCTCCATTATCACTAAAGCTCTTTCCACACTCAATACATTTATATGGTTTCTCTCCTGTGTGAGTCCGTTGATGTAGTCTAAGGCTTCCACTATGACTAAAGCTCTTTCCACACTCGATACATTGATATGGTTTCTCCCCTGTGTGAATCCGTTGATGTGTTCTAAGATATCCTCTGTTACTAAAGCTCTTTCCACACACGATACACTTATATGGTTTCTCCCTTGTGTGAGTCCGTTGATGATTTCTAAGGTTTCCACTCTGATTGAAGCTCTTTCCACACTCGATACATTTAAATGGTTTCTCCCCGGTGTGAGTCCGTTCATGTGTTCTAAGATTTCCATTTTCACTAAAGCTCTTTCCACACTCGATACATTTAAATGGTTTCTCCCCGGTGTGAGTCCGTTCATGTGTTCTAAGGTCTCCATTTTCACTAAAGCGCTTTCCACACTCAATACATTTAAATGGTTTCTCCCCGGTGTGAGTCCGTTCATGTGTTCTAAGTTTTCCATTATTACTAAAACTCTTTCCACACTCGATACATTTAAATGGTTTCTCCCCGGTGTGAGTCCGTTCATGTTTTCTAAGGTTTCCATTATCCCTAAAGCTCTTTCCACACTCCCTACATTGAAACGGTTTCTCCCCTGTGTGAGTCCGTTGATGTTGTCTAAGGTGTCCACTCTGACTGAATCTCTTTCCACACTCCATACATTCATATGGTTTCTCCCCTGTGTGAGTCCGTTTGTGCAATTTAAGGTTTCCACTCTGACTGAAGTTCTTCCCACACTCCCTGCACTTAAAACGTTTTCTCTCTGTGTGAGTCTGCAGGTGTGTTCTAAGTTTTGCATTGAAAGAGAAGCTCTTTCCGCACTCCATACCTTTAAATGGGTTCTTTCCTTTTTGTGTTCGTTGATGTGAACTATGTGTGCTCATTCAGTGAAGCATATTCCACATTTCACACATTTTAATGGCTATTCCTAATGAAACGAAAGGTGCCCTGTCCCGTGCAATTCTGACTTCTCCACCACCTTTTTCAGAGTGGGCAGAAAGGAAATCCTGTTTGGGTTTTAGGAAAGAAAACACAGGAAAAAAAGGACACATCAACCTCCATTAGCACCTTCTCTTATTTCAACATCTCCTACATTCTCCCATGTCCTACCCATGTTCCCAATTTTTAGGAAATGAAAATGGTATGATGTCGAATGATAGTAATGCATCAGCAACCTTTTATAATCCTCAATCATCTTTAATAACACAGAATGATTTTAGAATACCGTTGTCCTCTGAGACTGCCTTTCTTTCTTTTTTCTTCTTCTCTTTTTTTTAAACTTTTCTTTTGCTTTAAACAGGTACATGTAAACAGGTACTTAGAAATAAAGACAACCAAAATGACAAAGAAAAATTCCTTAATAGTAATGAAAAAAAATGAAAAAAGTCTACAAAAAATATTGAGGTACATGACACAGAACAAAGCAACTATGGGAAAGATAAAAGGAAAAAGAAAAAGGAAAAAAGAAAAAAGAGAAAAATAAAAATAAAAATAAAATAGCTCATCTATTGTACACTTCCATCAAGCTCACAACAGATCATTATTCTTATCGATTCTCTCTATCTGCATTCCAAAGGAATCCCTCATCTTGGTATCATTTCTCTATGCGGTATCATTCTAAACATAGCCAGATCTTTCTTGTTGAGCCCTTGTCCCCTACATAATTATTTAAATATTCCTATTCTTCTTTCACCATTTTTTAAGGTTTATCTCTTATTGCATCGGTCAGCTTTGCGAGCTCCAAGTACTCGCACAATTTGACAACCCATTCCTCTTTAGTGGGTATATTTTTATCTTTCCAGTGTTTTGCCACTACAACCCTTACTGCTGACGTTGCGTACATAAATAGCCTAGTTTTGTTTTTGGGAATATTATCTGAAACCATTCCTAGTAAAAATTATATGGAGAGACGACCAATGAGTGATGCAAGCAAAAATCAAGTTAGCGGAATTTTTCGAGATAAATGGGAAACAAAATGCAGACATAAATGTAGTTTAGTAAAGCGTACATGAGGGGTCTTGGAATACAAGAAATGGCTAGACTGAAGAAGATAAAAGACAATAATATCCAAGAGCTAACTAACCAGATAAGAATTAATGAAAAAGAGTTGATCAAAAATCCAAAAAGTCATGAAATATTACAAAAAATAAAGATATTGCAATCCCATATCTCTCGTATATTAAATAAGGAAGTAGAAAATAAAATTAAATGGGGAAAACAAAGGTATTTTGAGTCCGCCAATAAGCCCGGTAAGTTGTTAGCATAAAGGAAAAGCAAACAAAAAAAGTTATAAATAAAATTTTGGACAAAGGAGAGGAAACAACAGACCTAGTAAAAATAAAAATAAAATTCTTAAACTTTTATAAAGATTTATATAAACAAGAACATTTAGAGGTTAATAAAATGGAAGAGTATTTACAACAAAATAAATTACCAAGAATTGAAAAAGAAGAAGTTGAGGCCCTCAACTCCAATATAGAAATAGATGAAATGGCACAAGTAATAAAAAAAAAATGAAGAGTGGCAAATCGCCAGGTCTTGACGGAATCACATTACTGTACTATAAGAACCTGGAAGAAGTAATCCTCCCTATATTAAAAAGAATAATAAATAACATACTGGGAGGGAAAGATATACCACAATCATGGAAAGAAGCACTGATCACTCCAATCCCAAAACAGGGAGTGGAGTTGACAGACATGAAAAATTATAGACCAATCTCCCTGTTGAATACAGACTATAAAATCTATGCTGGGGTGATGGCTAATAGATTAAAAAAGACTCTAAACAAAATAATCAGCAGAGACCAGGCGGGCTTCTTACCGGATAGACATATAAAAGACAATACAAGAATAATAATTGACCCGTTGGAATATGTGGAAATGAAACCAAGTAAAAAGATGGCCATGTTATTGGTTGATGCAGAAAAAGCTTTTGATAGAGTATCATGGAATTTCCTATTGGAAACTTTCAAAGGTCTGGAGAAAATAATTAATGGAATTAGGGCGATATATGATAACCAAAAAGCAAAATTGCTAATAAATAACGAGATCACCGAAGAGTTCAGCATCGAAAGGGGGCCAAGACAGGGGTGCCCTCTCTCCCCACTTCTTTTTATTGCCACCTCGAAATCACTTTTAATAGCAATAAGAAAGGATAAAAATATAAGAGGAATTAACCTAGGAACTCGATACTAAAAAATCAAAGCCTTTGCCGATGATGTAATCGTAACCACTGAAAATCCAGTGGAAAGTATCCAAAAAATGCTTGCACAACTGGAAGAATTTGGGAAAGTCTCTGGGTTCAAACTGAATAAAGGAAAATCCAAATTATTAATGAAAAATTTACGTAAGTTGGAACAAGAGCAACTGGAAAATACAACAGGTTTAAAGGTAGCCAATAAGGTAAATTATTTGGGGGTTTGGATCACCAATAAGAATATAAACTTATATAAGGACAATTATGAGAAGAAGTGGAAGGAAATAAAAAAAGAATTAGAGACTTGGGGAAAATTAAAATTATTCCTGTGGGGGAGAATATCCACAGTTAAAATGATGGTATTGCCAAAGATGATTTTATGTTCCAAACAATACCTATAATTAGAGGCGTAAAGTGTTTTAAGGATTGGCAGAAGGACCTTGCCAAGTTTATTTGGCAAGGGGAAAAACCACGCATAAAATTTAAGCTAGTAACAGAGTTGAAGGAAAAAGGAGGCTTCACGGTCCCTGACCTTAAACTGTACTTTGAGGCAGTGTGTTGGACATGGATTAAGAAGAGAAGAAGAAGAAGGAGGAGGAGAAGAAGAAGAGTAGTTTGGATTTGATATCCCGCTTTATCACTACCTGAAGGAGTCTCAAAGCGGCTAACATTCTCCTTTCCCTTCCTCCCCCACAACAAACACTCTGTGAGGTGAGTGGGGCTGAGAGACTTCAGAGAAGTGCGACTGGCCCAAGGTCACCCAGCAGCTGCAGGTGGAGGAGCGGAGACACGAACCCGGTTTCCCAGATTACGTGACTACCACTCTTAACCACTACACCACACTGGCTCTCTCACACTGGAACAAGATGGAAGCCCCCAACAAAAGAAGACCCCAACTTTTATTAGCTGCTAATCCCCCATGCTACACCCCCAAGACTACATCATGACTACATCATTGACACATCACACAGAGGAGGGGTTCAGGGAGAAGAAGAAGAAGAGTTTGGATTTGATATCCCGCTTTATCACTACCCAAAGGAGTCTCAAAGCGGCTAACATTCTCCTTTCCCTTCCTCCCCCACAACAAACACTCTGTGAGGTGAGTGGGGCTGAGAGACTTCAAGGAAGTGTGACTGGCCCAAGGTCACCCAGCAGCTGCATGTGGAGGAGCGGAGACGCGAACCCGGTTTCCCAGATTACGTGACTACCGCTCTTAACCACTACACCACACTGGATATTAATTAAAAACACGGAAGTCCTAGATCTGGAGGGATGGGATATTGTGTACGGGTGGCATGGCTACATAGGCTATGACAAGGTTAAATCCTGCAAAGGATTTTTAAATCACATTGTGAGAAGGGCATTATATGAAGTATGGGAGAGGAGTAAAAAATCAGTAGTAACCAAAACACCATGGTGGCTGTCACCAATGGAATCTATGTCAGTTCACAGGATGAATATGAACAGCGATTGGCTAACATATAAGGATTTAGTAGAGGAAACAAGTAGTGATCCGAAAATAAAGGGCCTAAGCGAATTGAAACAGAAGGGAATAACCTGGCTGGAGTGTTATCAATTTAAAGCCGCCCTTGAAAAGGATAAAAGAACCAAAAGATTTGACAAAAAAATATCCTATCTGGAGAAGGATATTTTATATAATAATCAAAAGACACTTTCTAAAATGTACAAACTACTTTTGAATTGGCAAAGAAGGGAGGAAGATATCAAAGAAATTACAGTAAAATGGGAGAGGGACCTGGGACATACGATCAAACCCAATATTTGGAACGAATTATGGACTAAAAATATAAAATTCACGGCTTGTTTCCTTATAAGAGAAAATCTTATGAAAATGTACTATAGGTGGTACCTGACCCCTGTAAAACTTGCAAAAATAAATAAATCAAATAATAACAAGTGCTGGCGATGTATGGAACAGATAGGAACATATTACCATATGTGGTGGTCCTGTCTATAGATACAAAGATTTTGGAACATGATTTATGAAGAGATAAAGAGATTGATAAAAACTACATTTAGCAAGAATTTTTACTCTAAGACTGCCTTTCAAATCAAGTGTTTGCCCCTGTTTCCACCTCTAGTTCTTCATGAATCACCTGCACAGTCCCACTGCCCTCAGGAGGTCCATGTGGACCATTATGTGAGACCCAGGTCTACATCCTTTCCAGGGACTGTGGTCTGGGTCAGTCAGAGAACTAGTGGCAAGGCTTGGTGCTTGGGGTCAGCTGAATGGGTGCTCAGGGAAGCTCCTGTTCTTGGAGATGGACCTGTGTCTACATGCCTCACATTGCATGGAGAGAGCAGGAGAAGCAGAAGGAAAGCAGCTGGCAGATGGGAATCCCAGGCGGAAACACCCACCCCAATGGTGCTTTATAATGATGACGTGCTGCCTGATCTCGAGCCCGTCTTCTGACTATCCTAAAGTGACACTGAAAAGCAGGACATACCTGTACTTAATCGTAGATAGCCGTGTTGGTCTGACACAGTTGAAGTAAAAAAGAATAGTCCAGTAGCACCTTAGGGACCAACTAAGTTTGTTCTAGGTATAAGCTTTCGTGTACTTGCACACTTCTTCATATAGTGAAGGGTAGTAGGAGATGGTAGTAGGAGTACCTTCTGAGAAAAACCCCACCCCACCCTCCCACGATATACAAGGGTATGGTGACATCTGTGTCAGTGTATCTGAAGAATTGTGCATGCACACCAAAGCTTATACCTAGAACAATCATAGTTGGTCTCTATGGTGCTACTGGACTATTTTTTAATTTTTTATTTCAACTGTTTCAGA